TGGAACATTTTCTCTTTGGCTATGTTACTGTCATTGGTGTTTTAACTGTTCCTGTCGCGCCCGCCTCTGCCAGGCTAAGGAAGAAGCTTGGGCAACCGGAGCTTCTTCTTGCTCAGTGCTTAATGTTGTCCCTTTTAGATTACATTGATGCGAAGGATCATGAGCCACAAGCTCTCACAACACTTTACTATACTCTAAGGATAGGAGGGAAGTGATGATTAGGTTAATGATAGGCGGCTGATGGTTGACCTGATAGGCCAAGCTTAGGATCCTTCATATGCTGATGACTTATAGAACAGGCCAGGACTGTCTACTCTGCGGCATGCGCTGATCTTGTTACTACAGCGGGCCACCGGAAAATCGCGCCATCTTTAATGGCGTTGTCACCTCGCCCCACACTTCTTCATCATTATCACTGTTTATGGACATTTCCACGCTGCTACTGTTGCAGGTGTGGTGGACATGACACTGAACACAATGGGAAGGTTTTTAGTGAAATTTACACAATAGAGGTAGGTGACAAATGAGATAGATGAACAAGGTAATGTCAAATATTGCTGAGTAAGTGAAGACAAGACAGTAATTAGGGAGAGATTGAGGGGCAGCAACTACTAGGTTTCCACTTAGGAAATGCTTTTTATGGGGGAGGTTTCATATAAGCTGAGACACTAGTGACTCAGAGCCATGCGTGTGATTGAGGGCGGTGGAGGGAGGTACGTTTGTCTTCCCCACTTTATGGAGGGGAAATTGAGGAAAGCCAACCATCAGGATCATATCTAAATCAGGTTAAATTAATGCTACAAAGCCATACTTTGTGTTATCTTTTCCTTCAGGACTTAATCCTGAATATGTGTACTTTCTCAAAATCAGAGTTTAATGGGTGAGCATGGGAAGGCATTTCAGGACAGTGGTTAAGAGCAGCAGTTTTAAAGTAATTACTAGGACCTGGGTTTTAGCCCTTATCCGAATATTACTGTCTCTCTGAATGTCTCTAGACCAGTTACTTAACCTTTCTAAACCTCAGTTTCCTGATTTGTTAGAACTCATGGGGTTGTCACGAGCATAAAAGGAAGTTATGTTCAAAAATTCAGTTAGTGCTAAAGATGGTGGTGATGGCTGTGATGTTCTCTGAGAGGCATCGGTAATAATCTCCCAAATGTTAAAATATTTGCTACTGTTGGTAGGTGGAAAGCTGTGTAGGTTATCTGTTCGCCTCCGAATTCATTTTCAACAAACCCTTTTTGAGTGTCCACTCTGCCCAATCTGGATTCTGGGTGAGGAGCAAGACTAGGACATGCTCTGTGCTCAGCTGACAGTCTGTTAATTAATTGCATTCAGTGTGACTGGTGACAGAGCAGAGGAGGGGGTCTTTGGCTGTGCAAGTCAAGTGGCTGGGAATTCTGGTCTGAGCAGACAAGCAGGGAGGCTCCAGGGCCAGGAGGTGCTAATAGCTAGGTGCAGACTTGGGCTAAGGTGAGGTGGGTTGTGAGAATGGGGATGCTGGTATAGAAGTTTTTACGTTTTATTCATAAAGAATGAGGAACCTTTGAAAAACTTTAAAATCATTTGTGGTGAGATAGTATTCTTTCATGTTCTATTTATAATCTGAAAAGATTAACTGGTCCTAGTTTGTTGTATTAATGTATGGAAACATGATAGTAATTATCCTTATAGGCATGCTGGATATTCGATCTATTCATCATTTTCATTCTTCCATCTCATTTCACTACTTCAATTCATTGCTAATTTCATTTCTATTCTCTTGTTACTGTATCATCTCATCCTATCCACCACTTATTCCTAAAGACAGTTAATCAATTTTCTATCTTTATTATTATATGTTAATGATTTCTTATCATTGGTAAGATATTAAGTAAATTAAACTAATCTAAAATCCCAGCACCTAAAGCGAAACTTGGGCATACAGTCAAAAAAGTTCTTGAAAAAAATCGCTCTTAGAAGCTATTAGTTGGATTGATTCATCCGTCGTTTCATTTAATGCTAATTATTACTGTTGTGTGATTTTTTTCCCCCTAATGTTAGAAGATATTGCTGCTGCTTTGGTTGGGCCTGAGATAAAATTATTACTTTGCTGGCATTTAGGGGTCATGCGGAATGAATTAAAGGCCTAGAATTAAGCTCAGTGTGGTGAGAGCTTACATTTGGAGTGTCACAAGTGAACCAGGAAGGATTTTAAGAGCAGCAGGTTCATGATTTCTGTCTTACCCTCACTATAGGACATATGAGCACTGGGTCCAGTTGCTGAACAACTTAAAATGTTGCACCTGTGTTTGTGCATGCACACTCACACACAGCTGTTTTCTGTATCTGCAAAGCACATATGGTTCAATTTGAGCACATTTAAATGCACTTATGCAACTATAATTACACTACATGTCAACTTTAATGTTTTCTATATGTCAGACACTGCAAAGTATATTCATCATCCTATTTAATCTTTAACAAATATTTGAGATAACACTGAACAAATAAAAATGTTGCTAGGAGATACAATACATACTTCTAAGTTCACCAGCTATTAAATGATGAACTAGAATTAAAAGCCCTGTTCTGGCATTAACCTAGGCAAAATGGTAATAATTTCCCATTACAGTAGCAGAGGGGGTGTAAAAGTAAGATTCCAAAGAGACAAAAAGACTGTCCTTAAGGAGCCCTGCCCTCTAGGTGGTTAGTAATTGTCAAAGAACAAAGAACTCATGAGTTCAACCAGGAGGAAATCCAAATGACTAATACATGAAAAAAAGCTTTACATAAGTAGCAACCAAAGAAATACACAATATATTCTTGTTTATTATATCAGTAAAAATTTTCTGAATGCTTGTATTCCGGGCTGACACCCTTGTATCCTTCAGATGACAATGCAAACTGGTAGAACTTTTTGGAAAACAATTTGGTAGATACGTCTTATTTTAATTAGAGAATATGTTGCTCTGAGGAATTGAATGAACGTCACTGTAACTTGAAAGTGTTTTCTTGTATAGAAACAACATGAAGGTTATCTCATGGAACCCAGGGGCAGTAAGTCCATCCAGGCCTCACAAGAGGCTAGAACCAGGACGGTTACATTCCCTGTCCCTCTGGACGTGTGATCGCTTATCCTGGCTACTCCTAGTCTGTGTGCCTCATGTACTTCACAATAGCCTGTTAGGTGTCCCTCCAGGAATGGCACAAAACACGGCCACCGCTAATCTCAGATCACACCACTTCCCAATCCCAGACCCCAGCAGAAATACACCTGTTCCAACTGTTGATGGTTTGGCGAGAGAGACTGTGATGGGCTGGCTACTTGGTCGGCGATTACTCTTGGTTATCAGCTGTTGCCGGGGAACATGGGTTACTTGTCTGGTAACAAGCAAATAGAACACACAGCCACATGTATCAATAGCTTTAAAAATGCTCATGTTCCCGTAATTGATCTCGTAATTCCAATTTTAGAAACCTACCACTAGTAAGATACTGAGTGATCCAGAGAATGATTTTTCACATCAGGTGTTTTATTGGGAATAGGGAGATGTGGGAAACTACTAACACGTTCAGGGAAATAGCTAAATGAATTATGATGCATTCATGGGATTATGTTATACAGCTATTAAAAACATGTTTCCGGAAAATGCTCAATGAAATGTTAAATGTATATACATGTATATGCTGTGTTAAGTTACATTTTATATAGTACATAAAAAAATTCTAGATGGACTTACCAGAGGGATAACACTGGTTATTTCTACATGTTAGGATCACTTTTGTTCTTTACAATTTTCTGTAAATTTTAAATGATTAACAACAACCTTACAGGAATTCTATGCTAAGGGTTATGTAGTGAGTACTTAAGGATGAATTTCCTAATAATTAGTCTGTTTTAAATGTGGAATGTTTGGTTCAAGGGCCATTGTTTCTATCACTGGTAGTATTCAAATAGAAATTAAAGACAAAAACCCACCTGTAAGGGATATTTGTAGAGGAAAAGATTTCCATCTATTTTTCAGTATTTATGGAAACTGAAAATGACTCTTAAAGTCCTTTCAAACTGGCAGTGTTTCTGTTAAAACAGAATTTTTTACTCTGGGGAAGATTTATTTTTAAAAAAATTGTTAAATGTTAGAGGAAAATTACTTGTAAATACCACAGCCAAGTACACTTTGTGAAAGGGTTGTGAAATTATGTAGGAGTCATCAGAGTTTGTGGGATTAAGGAGGAGGGGCCCAAAAATGGTTTTGAAGTTCAAGCTCTTTTGAAGGGAAGTAAGTGATAGGCAGGTATTAGATTATGTGAAAGGCCTAGGTAATCATTGTTGCTAAGGAAGAGTCATTATAGATAGTAACCATAATGCTTGCCAAATAGCAGAGGCCATTTCCCTTGGTGTCCCTTAGTTGAGGATGAGTATGGAAGTGGTACAGGGAACTTAGGATGAAAAGAGACCAAAGGGAGCCACTGTGGTAAATTTGGGCTTGGTTTGTTTGGGCTTATATATGTCTCCATTTTCTCTCTTCTCTCTCTCTCTCCTCCCTTCCTCCCTTCTCCCCCTCCCTCTTCCCTCCCTTCCCTCTCTTCCTCTCTCTTCTCTCTTCTCTCTTTCTTTTTTTTCCTTTCTTTCCCTTTCATTTCATTTATTTTTGAGACCAAGTTTCACTTTGTGCCCGGGCTAGAGTTGGAGTTGCCGTTGGTGTTTCAGCCTAGCTTCACGGGCAAACCCTCAAAACTCCCTGGTGCTCAAGCAATCCTTCTGCCTCAGGCCCTCCCAAAGTAAAGCTGGGACTACAAGGCATGCGCCATTCTGCCCAGCTGAATTTTTCATATATATATTATATTAGTTGGCCAATTAATTTTTTCTTTCTTTATAGTTAGAGATGGGGTCTCGCTCTTGCTCAGGCTGGTTTTGAACTCCATCCTCGAGGTGGATCTTGCCCACCCTCGGCCTCCCAGAGTGCTAGGATTACAGGCGTCAGCCACCACGCCCAGCCCTTAATTATATTCTTTGAGGTGATCAGCGATGATTTTTCTGTTTGGGGGTAATGTTAATGGCAGTAATAGATGTACAGCTGTAGTATAAAATCAACCTTCTGGTTTTACTTTCAGACGTAAAGATTCTTTGAAACTACCCAGAACTACAAAGAAACCAAGGGCCTTTAGTCTTATTGGTATATGTATGTGTAAGGGGAGATGTCATCTTTTTGCCAAAAGTAAAGTAAGACTAAAAGTATATTCTTTTTCCTTTTTTTCAAAAGCAAAGGTCTCCAGCTTTAATGTGAGTAAGGATCACCCTGGGAAGCTGTGCAAAATGCAGATTTGCAGCCCCATGCCTGAGAGCCTGATTTTATAGGTCTGGGTTGGAGCTCAGGAATCTACGTTGTGCAACAATCCTGGGGACAGTCAGATGACTCTGGCCACACTTGGAGAGTCCAAATCAGGGTCTCAGGATGTCCCCTGCTGGCTTGCCTTGGATGATACCATAGGCTTCAGGGTCACTAGTTCATATTATCAAAGAATCTGAATGGTTTCCTGAGCCTCTCCTAGCCTGACTTAAGACCCTCAGAGGTGACTCATCTATTTTACAGGATCTTCCTTCCATGCCCTAACTCCTTACCGAAAGCCTTGGCCACATCCCCGGGACAGCTGCAGCATCCGTCCTGCAAAGTAAGGAGCACTTCAAAAAGACAGCATGGATTTTCCAAGCCCTCTCAGTGATGTCCCAGTGGCCCACCTTAAAGCTAGGAGTCCTGGTCCATACCTACCAGAGCCTCCACACCCTGCAGAAAACCTAGCTGTTTGGCAGCCTCAGACCCTACCCTGCCCTTGGGCCTTACTGAAATGATGTGGCCTTTAAGGCCATGAGCAGCATCAGCACACCCCATCACTGCACTGAGCCGTGGATACCCCACTCCAGTTTTCTTCCGAGTGGTACACACAGAGCCTGGCCCAATTCCCTCCCTGATAATGTCAGCCCCAGAGAGGATGAGCTCTTCCACCGTCTCTCCTGTTACCACATTCCCTGCCATGATGGTGTGTTGAGGGAAGCGCTTCCACACATCCTTTACAAATTCAACAAAGTGTTCAGAATAGCCATTTGCCACATCCAGGCATATATAGTTCACCTGGGGAATAGCTTCCAGGATCTGTTCCAGCTGTTCAGAGTCAGAAGAGCCAGTGCCTGAGCCGGCAGCGAGATGCTCAAGACAGTCAGGATTCTGGCTAGCAAACTCTTGCCATTGATCGAGGCTATAGTGCTTATGGACAGCAGTGAAGAGGGAGAACTTACAGAGAACCTTGGCCATCTCAAATTTGCCCACGTTATCCATATTGGCGGCAGTGATGGGGATCCCAGTGTACATCTGCTTTGAGTTCCGAAATGGAAAGGGTCTTGTGAGATCCACCTCACTTTGAGACTTAAGGGTGCTGTGTTTGGGCCCCAACAGGACATCTTTGAAGTCCAGTTTCACATCGTTGTCGATATGAGGCATGGCGGGGACCGCGGGGTAGGGATGAATCTGAGGGTTCCTGTTGCCTTTGCCCAGGTAGCAAAAAGATCCCCTTGCTTAGCAACTAGCCTCGTGCAACCCCCAAAAGTATATTCTTTATGTTCATTAGAAAAAGACACAACTCTAAGCTGGTGTTGGGATTGAAACTTAGTTTAGCATTTTAAGTAAAGCAGATTGTTATTCCTTTTAAAAAATAGAATAGGTGCAAAATTACTATTGTAAAAATGATCTGTGTAATATAGCTGTTCTTTAAATTGTCTATTTTCTGATCTTTGTGTACATTGAGTCTGTTCTATGATGATTCATAACTTCTAAACTAACGCTGATCAGTGAATCCTAAACTGAAAGTTTGGGCCAATTTGAGTGTTCCAAGAAGAGGACTGCTCGTGGTGACTCAGGCTCACTAAACCTCAGGTTTTGGGTGTCTTTTAGTGCTACAACTCTTGGGACTCCTTTTTCCAGATTAGCACCCCCATCCCCTATTAGGGTTTGTCACTGACACCTTGTTACAGAAAATTGTCAGGGTAGTAGTTTCTTCTGTCAGAAGGACCAGGTAAGCCAGCAGCCAGCTTATCCAATAGTTTGACTACCTGAAATACACAATTGCTTTGAAAAAGGCAGATGCAAGGTCCAGCTCTTACCCTCCCAGGAAACATACACATTTTAACAGTAGGAAAAATTTGAGTTATTTTGACCAGTGCAATACCTGCATCTTCACCAGCCAGAGCTGTTTCTCTTGGTTGTTCACAGGTATAATACTTTTCCAGAAAGGCTATTTTATTATTATTTGTGAACCTTGGCAGAAAGGGGGAAGGGCATGATATTTGCATAAAATTTCTAGTGGAGAACAGATCAAATGGAATCTCTTGGCTTCAAAGTTAGATGGAATCATTTCCTTGTCCAGGCAACCTGGACATTCACTAAATAAATGTTTAAGTGTTTTCTCTACATCCAAATCTGTGCTACAGCAGTGCAGATACAGTCTGGCTCTCAATAGGGTCACGTTAGTAATTACAGTATATGATGCAAGGTCATAGGACTGTACAAAGGTGCATGCAAAGTGCTGTGATTGCACAGCAAGGAGAGACTTGTGCCCAGGACCAGAGAAACAGAAAGGTGTCACCTTGGAGACATCTCTACACTGGATTTCAAGGATCAGGTGGGATCTGCCAGGTGGTGAAGGGCATTTCATATCAAGGGAACAGCATTACATAACAGCTCAAAAACTACGAAGGACTACTATTTGTTTGCAATACAAGACAGTTAGTGTAACCTAGAGTATTGGGATTAGATATAGAAGTGGAGTGGTTAGAATTTGTAAGATAAATGACACCAAATTATGTTAGTCTAAGCCATGCCTTGGGGTTGGGACATGACCGGGTCGGCACCATGGTTCTTTTCACATTTTAAGAAAGACGACCCATGGCACTGTGGGGGAAGGGCTAGGTTGCAAGGTGCTGGAGCCTTGGCATTCTGATAAGGAACAGATGGCACAGGAGAGAGATGATGAGTCCTCTGAGCTAAGGCACTGGCACAAGGATGTAGGAAGAGGGAAGGAACTGAGAAATTTATAGGAGTCAGATTGCCAGGATTTAGTGATTAATTGGACGTGTGGATGGGTTGAAGGAGTGGGAAGTGTCAAGCGCAGCCCTGCAGTTTCCAGCTTGGGTAGCTGGCTAGATGATGCGTCACTAGCGGATGGGAAGAATGCCGTGGGGAAGCAGAGCAGGATCCTATGTTGGACTCAGAAACTGTATTAAAGTTCTTATCACCTGTTTGTGGTTTAGATTTATGTAGAAAATTTGTGGTTTTTTTTACAATTTTGAAAATAAATCCACATAAATCCAATATATTCATAAGGTGATACATGATGTTAGCTTCTCTTTTGTGAACACATAAAATGTGACAATAAAAGGAAAATAATGAGAGATTTTAAAAGAAATTCCTTTGAATGTTTATAGCAGCACAACTCACAGTTGCAAAGCTGTGGAAACAACCCAAGTGCCCATCAATTTGTGAGTGGATTAATAAAATGTGGTATATGTATACCATGGAGTACTACTCAGCTTTAAGAAACAATGGTGATATAGCACCTCTTGTATATTCCTGGATAGAGCTGGAACCCATTCTACTAAGTCAAGTATCTCAAGAATGGAAAAACCAGCACCACATGTACTCACCAGCAAATTGGTATTAACGGATCAACACCTAAGTGGACATATAGGAGTAACATTTATCGGATGTCAGGAAGGTCAGAGAGGGGAGGAGGGGATGGGTGTATACAACCAAACGAGTAAGATGTGCAACATTTGGGGGATGGACATGCTTGAAGCTCTTACTGGAGAGGGGAGGGGGACATGGGCAAAATATATAACCTTAACACTTATACCCCCATAATATGCTAAAATAAAAAAATAAATAAAAAAAGAAATTCCTAGCTTTTCTTTGTGTATCACACTTCAAATTCTAGCATTCTCTGGCATTTAAAATTGTTGCCTCTCAGGAGGTGACTATATCCTTGCTGTGGGATGAAAGCACAAAATAAAGGAGGGTTTTTCTCAGTTCACAGTATAACTTGGAAAAACTGATGTGTGTGTGTGTGTGTAGTCATGCTCTCCAAACAATAAATTAGTTTGTTAGTGACATATATTTCAGTTATAAAATAGTGAAGCAGAATTAATGTTGAGGCAAGAAAAGGCTATGTTGGTGGGGTTGTTTTTTAATTAAAGAAAATATTGCAATATTAATTAGGTTCTTCAACTACAACTTTTCTAGTAAACCTTTTCCCTAGCTGGATTACACTTCTCTGAGCTTATGAAGCACTCTGTGATTTTTTATCTATCATTAGTATATTTGCAATTGACTGTTACCTTGTCTCTCTCCCCAACTCGATTGAGTACCTGAGGCCAGGAACTATTTTACTCACCCTGTATCCCCAGCTTTTGGCTCAGCTCAGAACCCATGCTAATGCTCGAGGTTGTTAAACTGAACTAACGTTAAAGAAAAAATTTTAAGGTAAAGGAGTTTGTTCAAATGGCCAGTGAGAATTGCAAGTTACCATTTAAACAATTGGACAGTAAGAAGAGGGAGTACACCGTGGGATTAGAACAGGGACTGCCACCTCGCTTCAGCTCCAGTGTCTGTCCTTTAGGCTAGGGCCCTTGCCAGCAAGGAGAATTACACAGCTCCTTCTCAGATCTCTGACGGTTCCTGGCTCCATTCTTGTCCAGTTTCCCTCATTAGACTGGTACTGGAGGTCATGGATTTTTATCTTGATCATCTTTGTGCTTCCAGGTGCTTGCACAAGCCCAGCAAACAGAAGGTGCTAGATAAGGCACCTAATCATAGGAATGAGGAAGAAAGAACGAGTCTTTCCCAAGCCTTCTTACAGTGTTTGAGTCACTAAGGAATTTGAAAGGTAAAAGGTATCATTGACAGTGAGGCTGAATTACAGGCAACTTTTGAAATGAAACTAAAGTCTTTTAAAATACATATTCTGGTTTGAAAATCTGCTTTTCTGCCTGTCCCTCCTCTCCTGTTCCTTCCGGACTATCTACTGACATTCCACATTGTATGAATATACTCAGTGCCGCTTCAAACAACTTCATTTCTTTGTTTACTCCTGAATTAATTATTAACTGCCTACCTTTTTTTAACAGACGTGATAAAAGAAATACAGACAGAACCTGTATTTTTACGCAGGTATATGTAATTGCCTGTGTCTTGAGAATATAAAAATGATCAGGGATGGGTAAGGACCAAAATAGCATAGAGGAAGATAGGATAAATTTGGATGAAATAGCCCTCTTAAAGGGGCAGATGGCTCTTAATAACTGAAATAATCGTATTGAAGAAGTCTAAACCAGTCTTTAACTAGTAACTTAGTCTTAATAAATAATGGGCTGTTAATCCCAAATTAGCATGTGATATAATGACTAAAATTGCCAGAAGCAGAACCATTCTTAGAAACCAGGAGAAAAATAATACTAGTAAACAGGGGGAGAAAAAGCAGCCCTTTGAAAATTATAGGATGGAATTAGGCAGCAAAGTGGAACTAATTTTCCTATTTTGTGGTTAGTTACCAGCATTTCTTGTTTGCACTGAGTATTATCCATGGTCATCCCAGTTAATAGGAATAATGGTGAAACTGACATGCTGACATTAATGCAAAATGCTAAACTACAAAATGTACAAATTATAAAGTGATCTTTTAGGACAAACTCTTCTGTTTAAAACAAAAACAAATTTTAATATAACAAAAATCTCATTTTAAACTGCCATGTAGTTGTTAGATGATCAATATATAAATGATAAAAGTAAAATTGACTTTGTAGTAAGATACCCATGACCTATTAAAGTACTAAAAGTTTAATTCATTATTTAAATGAGGAAAGGAGTGGGAAACTTAGCACTTCCATTTAAGATGGTAATTTTATCTAAAGAATATATATTTATGACATAATATTGGGAATATTATTGCATAACACTATAGTAGATTTGCAAATGACCATTATTTACATTGGACAATTTCAGCTCTGGTGTATTTTTAAGTGTATGCCCCAAAAAGTTCCTATTGCTTAGTAAAGCTTCTGTATTAACATATTCAAATCAGCAAATATTTGTGTGCCTCCTTTGTGCTTTAAACTGACCTTGTCCTGGGGGGGGGGATTAGAGGGAGTAGAGTTTTAAAGAAACCTTTGTTAAGCTGTTAGGTTGATTCTCATTGTTCTCTGTACTAAATGGCATCACATTCATCTTTATGTATATAGTTCTCTGCTTAGGACAGTTTGCTGAACATGGCACAGGTAGGTGATACACAGTTTTCTGGCATTCAATACTGTTAACCATATTGCCTCAGTTGCCAGTTCAAATTTTTTTTTTTTAATAGATAGGGTCTTACTCTGTTGCTCAGGCTGGCATGCAGTGGTGCAATCATAGCTCCCTGCAGCCTTCAACTCCTGGGCTCAGTCAGTCCTCTTGCCTCAGCCTCCCTACTAAGTGCTGGGATTACAGGCGTGAGCCACCGCGCCCAGCCAGTTGCTGTTTCAGTTTACCTGCCACTGCGGGTACTTGAGA